AAACAAGGAGGGGAAATAGTTTTTAAGAAAATAAAGGAAGTGCTGGAGGGGAAATACATGCTTAGATAGAAATAATTCAGAGATTTAGCACACATATAATTTTAGCAGGAATACCCATACTAGAGCTACACAGTTTCAGTACTCGCGGAACCTTCTTTGAGTCAATTCACTGCCAGCAATACCAACAGCAAGTTTTTCTATTTCTTATCTGCCATAGGTCCCTAAAATGTTTTTGAGAAAACGCGACGAAATCCATCTTTCGCATAGCGTTAGCTAACCTCTACAGCTTTACGTGTCCGAGAAAGTCACCGGTGTTTCAAAGCAGCGGTGATATTTGACAATTCCTTCTGCATCCCGCCGGCACAACCGCCGTTTATGTAGTAAACATGGTTGCACCGATTGACAGTGCGCTGGATAAGAAGCATTAAATCTGAACTACGTAGATTAGACCCTGCAATGGAATTGCTCAACTATGATTGCGAAATCAATTTTACGAGTTATTAACCTTCTCCATTAAATATGTAGTAAACTTGTGGGATGCTAGCGGAAACAATTTTTAATACTCAAAAAAAAAACCGCTATCCAATGATAAAACGAAATCAATGATATTTGAGAAGAAAAAAACATAGGAAAACACTTCTCAGACATTGTTTGCTAAGACTTTTTTCCCTTGAAAATAGGCGTCTTTCAAGACTTCGACGTGCCTTACGAGCAGATATGCAAGACGCAATGTTATGGAAAGAAGGCTTTCGTGGGCCGAAGTTTGACCTCCTTTACCAACCCATATTCAAAATGTGCGATATAGTTGGTCTAAAAACCTTTGACGGTTTAGAAAGCAACAGATGTGAGTTTAATTCGCGTTAAATTCTACCTCTCCTAATGTCTTCGCTTACAGATGGATTCGCTTTCTCCCAAGATGATGGTCTCGCCGTTACGCAGATGGATTTACTCCAAGGGTGCTCTGAAGATACCGCCACAATTCAGACTGCCGGCATAGAGGAATCCAATGAGCAGGTGCTATTGATATAAAGGATCGTTTAAATTTGGCGCTGATGATATTCTTGTTCAGAGCTTTTTTGTTAAGCCGATTGAAAGGTCTGTGGATGACAGAACGGTCGTCAGCTCAATCTCATTCAAATCACCACCGCAATCTACAGATCTGACTAAAAGCGTAAAGACTGTGTAGAATAACACTTGTATATTAGCAGAAACTTCATAACATAATATATGATTACAAAAGTCAAGATAGTTTGCATTTGTGAAGTCTAATCAAATAAATTTTTGAATTTTACAAGATAAATTCCTATCCGTACGCTCTCAAGAAAGTCATTTTTTTGCTGAAACTTGAATGCAAATATTTGGATTCCAGCTAAATCTGAGAACTAATACACCAACTCAAAAGCAGATAAAAGC